TGAGGGGGGCAGCAGTGCAGTGGGGTGGAAAAGTGGGAGCAGGCTGTTATCTGTGTGGGGCAACCCATTGCCATGCCCCTTGCAACCGCTCGCCCCATGTAACCGCTGTTGTGTGATGCAATCATATGCATTCACGTCTGTCTGCCTCCCATCATGTGTTCGTGCGCTGCATGCGTGGTGTGAGCGTGTGCAAGAATTTGAGGTTTGTGCGGTTTGGTTTTTCTGAGTGTGTGTGAATGTTATTTGGCTTGAGCAGATATCTGAAGTGACTCCTCTGCTCAAGAGCTTTCCGACGAACCAAGTATCACTTCAATCGGAGCACGAACAAGAAAGTTACGAACGTTGGAGTTCGTATGCTTTTCATATTTGATTGTGGCAACTGTGGGAAGTTGTGGGGTTGACTCAATATGGGGTACAGACTTTTGGGGGTTGGGAAATTCGTCTTTTCTACTGTAGTTGCTGCCAAATGGTTGGGAGAAACCAAACCAGGTTGGCAAGTGTGGCCAAGTTGGGTTGAGGTGGATTGTGGAGGTTGGGATAGTGACAAAGGTCAAAGTTGGGTTGCCTATGGGGAAGGGAATTGTGTGGCATGGGGTTTCCTTGGTTGGGGACTCTCTTGGGACCTTCCCTCTCATCCTCCTCATCCTTTCCACCTGGTTTAGTGCTACTCTAACTCTCTTGTGTAGTTATTGTGAACTTGTGTGAGACTATTGTGATTGAGTTAAGATTCTATGGCAGCATACCCCCTAGTTCGCCAAAATTGATAACTCAAGAAATACTTCACCTTTTTTGTACGATTCAACTTGGGAATTGTAGCCACGGATTAGAGCTACAACATATCTGAGTTTGGTGAAGTTTTGACCGTGAACTTTTCGTCGACGGCGTTTCTTGTGAGTGCGACTTTTCTGTCCAGAATTCTAAGCCAACGATTTTGAGAATTTTAGGCACCTAATCTTCGTAGACTCCGTCCTTAGTCTCTAACAAGTGGTATCAGAGCTGATTAAGGACTTTGTGGAGAGTCTACTGAAGTGTGAAGACCCTCCTAGACCCACCATGGCCTGTGGGCGTGCCTAAGTGGAGTTCTGGAGGTTGGATGTGACTTCCGCTAAGGGGAAACTCTGCCGAAATTTCGTTGGCGCCGACACTTGTGAAGATTGTGTGGATCTACATTGTGACCAGCAAAGGGGGGAGCTGAAACCTCTGATTGGGAGCAAAGGAGATGAATCAAGGGAGTGGAGATGCAGCTGAGAAGAGGAGTGAACCGCCACCATCCAAGATCGAAGCTTTGGATGGCTCCAACTATGAGGAATGGAGCGGGCGGATGCGGAGCGCCTTCAAGCGCTACAAGCTGCTGAAAATTGCAATGGGAGAGGAGAAGATGCCGGGGGAAGGAGATGCTCGCGATCGGTGGATTGAGAAGAGCGCGGTCGTGTACGACCTCATCCTCCAATTGGTCAACAACGACATGTTCCAGCACATCAAGGATTCGGTGGAGTTGGATGATTCCGGACCGAAGGCATGGAAACTGCTACGCGACGTGATTCAGCCCAACAGGCTGCCCATGGTGATTGTGTTGGAGAAGGAGTTGGCTGCCCTCTCCATGAAACCGGGAGATGATGTGAAACCGGTCCTTGACAAGATCAACGACACCTATGCGAGGATGGCAGCGGCGGGCAGCGAGGTGTCGCAGATGCAGCAGTGCACCAAGATCATCTCGGTGCTCGACAGCTCGTGGGATAACCTCATCCCCACTTTCAACAGCAGGACAAGTGGACGCCTGAGTGGCTACGGTAGCAAATCCTGCAGGAGGACTTCCGCAGGTGCCACACGGGAGGTGGTGCTGCCAACAAAACTTCTGAGGGGTATGGAGCTGCAGGAGGCAGCAGAGGAAGAGGGGGAGGGAGAGGCCAAGGCCGTGGGAGAGGCTTTGGCAGAGGGAGAGGCCGAGGTGACTACAATGAGGGGCATGGGAGCTCTGGTGGCAGGGGGAGCACCCGAATGGAGGGTGCGTGCTGGTACTGCAAGAAGGCTGGACACCCATGGTTCAAGTGTTTCAGCCGGCCTGAGGGATGGGCGCCCCCAGGCATGAAGCCGCCAAGTGGTGAACGTGCACGAGGTGGCGCTGTGCAAGGTTCAGGTGCACAAGGTGATGGTGCACAAGGTAAAGCCGACCCTGGGATGTTCCTCATGGTTGAGGATGTGCAAGGGAGTGGGGGTGATGTGGGTTCAGTTGGGAAGGTTGTAATGCACCCCCTCACCCACTGGGTGATCGATTCAGGTTGCACAAGTCACATGACCCCACGGGCAGATTTGCTTGATGAGGTGAAACCCCCCGGGAAGATCAAGTTTGTGGCTGCCGCTTCAGGTGCTGTGCTTTCTGTGATTGGTGTTGGGAATGCCAAGGTCATGGGAGCCAATGGGGGGCTTGTGGGGCTGGGGAATGTGCTGTTGGTTGAAGGTTTGTCTGCTAACCTCCTCTCTGTGCGCCGGCTGCAGAAAAGCAAGGCCAAAGTGACTTTCGGCCCAACCAACTGCCGTGCAAAGCTTGGGAAGTTGCTGCTGTGGGACTTGGAGGAGGAGAGCAGCTGCATTAAGGACCTCTAGCAGCTGCCCATCATCCCATGGAATGGGAAACCACCAGCAACGGCAGCGGCAGCGGCAACGGCTTAAACAACTCTGGGAGGAGAAAAGACTGCACCAACTAATGGGGCCCTGGATGCAGTCAAGAAGGTGCAGCAGCCACAGCAACCACATGGTGAGGTGCTTGCTGGTGTGGATACGACAGCTGCATGGGCAAAGGCTTCATCCGGGAGTAGTGAGGCCGATTGGGAGACGTGGCACGAGAGTTTGTGCCACATCAACATACCGATGCTGGAATGCCCAGGATAGCCTAGCAAGCACAAACATGATTTGACACACCCCCATAGGCTAAGAGGGGGACAACTAGATGGTCACAAGACCAGTCAAGCAAGAGAACAAAGCAAAGCAAAGCTCGGGGTCGATATCACACCACACAATCTGAGGACAAGCAAGCGACCACAAGGCCAGTTCATATGCAGAGTTGTAATAGCAAGGCAGGTATACATGCAGGTATAAAGATATATATCAGTGTACAACAAGTGCAAGTTAAGCAACCAGCAGGTGAGGCAGAGTGGGCACAAGCCCAAGAGCAGTGCAAAAGCGCTGATGTTCACCAGACCAAAGGTCCTTAGTGAACACAAAAGCAGTGTTGGCCCGCGAGGCCACATAGGAAAGGCGGAGCTAACAACGCTGCTGCAGCTTACGCGCAAGGAAGTAGCAACGAGCAATGTGCTTCATTTTGTGCTCTAGTCTCTGCTCGCGACACAAGGCAAGCATTGCCTTTTTGTCATCGTACAGAACTGGAGGAGAACGAGGCTGCTCCCCTAAGCTGATCAACAGGTAGGTCAGCCAGCGTAGCTCCTGTACAGCCATAGCCCCAGCGTAGATCTCGGCCTCACAGCTGGAACCAAGCACCAAAGACGAACAAGTGAGACAGAACCAGAGCCGAGACAGAAGGGGTAACCCTGGGACGACCTCTGAGTTGCCTGGTCATCGGCCCCAGAAGCGTCCGAGTGACCTGTGAGGACCACTGAGTCCCGTCTTCCAAGCACGAGCCCGATACCCGATGTACTGCACAAGTAACACAGTACCCTCTTAGCAGCTTCCCAGTGCACCTTTCGGTGTCTACCGGGAGCCAAGTAGCGAGCCAGAAGTCTGAGAGGGTACACGAGGTCAGGTCGTGTGCAAGGTATCAGGTACATGAGGCAACCCACTAGTTCTGGATACGGACCACTCGGCTCTACAGACTTGTCCGAAGGTGGAGCTGAGAGCGAGTGGCCTGTAGGCAGAGAAGTGGGCTGTTGCGAGGACCACGTGAAGACGAGTGCACCATGTGTGACTGCGTCATGATGATGGTGCGCCGTACTCTGTCCCGGGTGATCTGCAAGCAAAAATAGCTCTGCAGCTCACCCAGGTCAGTGCAGGTGTGTCTCTCCTGCAACTCCGCCTGCACTAGGGCCAGTGCCACAGTGTCAACAGTAGCAACAACCAAGTCGTCGATGTACACGAGGATGTAGAACGGCGAAAGAGAAGGGTCGGTGCGCAAAAATAGCGACGGGTCAGCAGTCGAAGGAGCAAATCCAAGAGACGCAAGTGTCGTCCTCAGTGTGTCGTGCCACTCGTGAGGTGCTTGACGCAGGCCGGACAGTGGCCGCCGTAGGCTCCACTGGGTACCCTCAGGAAACGACCCAGCGAAGCCAGGTGGACGGCGCAGCCAGATGGTCTCGTAGAGGCTACCCTGCAAGAAAGCTGTCGAGAAGTCGAGGTAGTGCAACTCGTAGTCACGCTGAGTTGCAACGTGTATCAACACCCGAAGAGTGGTCATCATCAGGGTGGGGGAGAAGGTCTGAAAGAAGTCAACCGATCTTAACTAGAGTACGGGTTTAACTAAGGGCCTAGGCTTAGTAGCCTAGGCCAAACGGGTGTCGAGGGAGTTGTGCCAAGGGAGAATCGAGAATGTGTGTCTTCACTATAGGTTTGCAAGAACATATAGCAAAGAAACAAAGAGGTGCACCACCACAACCAAGAAACATAACTACACTAAAGCTAAAGCTACAGGCAGTTATAAACATATATAAATATATATCGCGACACACCCCCTTAACTGCCTGCAGCACATAGCTAGAGCAAGTCACACCCCCTGAAGGGGTATAGCAGGTGCGGTGGGAGACGGCAGAGGGGTACGTGAGGAGGAGGAGGCAAGAGGAAGAGAGGAGAGGAGAATAGATAAGAACACAGGAGGAGGTGAGTGGGGGATGAGGAGAGGAGGTGGGGGGGTGGCCGCAGCGTCCCCTCTTACTAACCCCCACATCCCCACCCCCAACCAACCACCCGCCCTCAACCTCACCCCCCATTTCAGCCGCCCCCTGGAACCGCACTCCCTCCACCCCTGTATTCCTCCATACCTCTCCCAACCCACGATGGTCCCTGTACAGTCTTTCACAAGTGGGCTGCTGGGCACAGGTGGGGCTGCCGGTCACAGGTGGGGCTGCTGGTCACAGGTGGGGCTGCTGGTCACAGGTGGGGCTGCTGGTCACAGGTGGGGCTGCTGGTCACAGGTGGGGTTGCTGGTGCTGGTGCTGGCGGCTGGCGCTGGTGCTGGTTCCTGGTGCTGGCGGCTGGCGCTGGGGCTGGTTCCTGGTGCTGGCGGCTGGCGCTGGGGCTGGTTCCTGGTGCTGGCGGCTGGCGCTGGGGCTGGTTCCTGGTGCTGGCGGCTGGCGCTGGGGCTGATTCCTGGTGCTGGCGGCTGGCGCTGGTGCTGGTTCCTGGTGCTGGCGGCTGGCACTGGGGCTGGTTCCTGGTGCTGGCGGCTAGCGCTGGGGCTGGTTCCTGGTGCTGGCGGCTGGCGCTGGGGCTGGTTCCTGGTGCTGGCGGCTGGCGCTGGGGCTGGTGCCTGGTGCTGGCGGCTGGTGCTGGTGCTGGTTCCTGGTGCTGGCAGCTGGCGCTAGTGCTGGTTCCGCCGCCACTCCCTTCCCCTCCTCTCTCTCCTTTCCACAGCGTCCCGCCGCCACTCCCTTCCCCTCCTCTCTCTCCTTTCCACAGCGTCCCGCCGCCACTCCCTTCCCATCCTCCCTCTCCTCCCCATGGCGACCGCCGCTGCACACGCAAACAGTCGCGACGGGGGGGGGTGACGGGCAGGGGGCGGGGGGAATGCGACGGGCAGAGCGGGCGAATGAGCGGCTGGGGCGATCGCCGGTGCTCTGGCGATCGTCGTTGGCGTTCCCCCGTCACTCCTATCCCCTCTTCCCTCTCGCCCCCACAGAGTTCCGCCGCCACTCCCATCCCTTCTTCCCTCTCCCCCCCACAGCGACCGCCGGTGCGACAGGCGAGGTGCAGGGTGGTGCTGGCTGCAGTCGATGGCGCAAACGCGATTGCGGGCCGCTGGCGACTTCGCTGGCGACTTCGCTGGCGGGTCGCTGGCGGTCGCCATAGCGTCCGCCGCGCCCGTCGCGCTGAGAGCCGCGACGAGGCAGGCGACGACGATGCGACGGGCAGGCGACGGGGGGCAGCGCGAGCAGCAGGAAAAAAAAAAAGTTACGCAAGGTGCGGATTTTGCGCCACTAACTGTAGCAGTCGCGAAATGTGATGGGCCCATAAACGAAATAGGTCCTAGGACGGACCGCTCTGATACCATGTTACGATACGATCTTAACTAGAGTACGGGTTTAACTAAGGGCCTAGGCTTAGTAGCCTAGGCCAAACGGGTGTCGAGGGAGTTGTGCCAAGGGAGAATCGAGAATGTGTGTCTTCACTATAGGTTTGCAAGAACATATAGCAAAGAAACAAAGAGGTGCACCACCACAACCAAGAAACATAACTACACTAAAGCTAAAGCTACAAGCAGTTATAAACATATATAAATATATATGGCGACAGCTTCACCCTGAAAATCCACATGCTACTGACGATGTTCGCCCTTGGAGGGGAAACCTCGTCGACGTAGGTGCCTGTGGACTTCCAAGAAGCCATCTCTGCGTCCATGGCTGTCTGCCACTGAGAGGAGTACTCACCCGATCGCCTCTCTGAAAGAGCGCGGGTCGGGAATGTCAAGTGCATCCGAGTCTCCCTCAGGGGCAAGCAGCATGGCAGCAAGATGAGGTGCAGCGGCCGCAAGGCAGTGTAGCTCCTCTTGCCTGTCCTCAAGAACGTTACAATCAAGGGCAACCTCACCCCCGACGGACGGAGGACAGGCAGGTTCATGGTCAGTAACAAGATTCGCAAGGTAGTCTAGGCGGTACACAGCAGCAAAGTCAACTAGCTCAGCGACTAAGGCACACGCAGCAGGAGACGAGAACGTAGGGTTCGTTAGAACTGTAGCAAGAATGCAAGTGACAGTCGGACTGGAAGCACGAGCAAGGTCAGACGGAGGGTCAGCAACGTCAGGAGGAGAAGACGTAGGAGGTGATAGCAGGACAATACGCTGTGGAATAAAGGAAGGACGGAGTGTCATATCGTGAGCTCCTGGGACAGCTGGAGCACGAGAACGACGCACACGACGAACACGAGTAGGAATGGAAGCTTCAGTCTCAGTCTCTCGACACTCAAGAGTGGAAGCTTGAGTCTCAGGCTCTCGACGCTCAGTCAGGGACTCTATCACCTCAGTGTAAGGAGCAGGAGCAGGCAGTGGGGATTGAGGCAGTAGCTGTGGATGAGACTGGTCTGCCGGTGGGAACAGTAACGGAGGAGTAGTACGAGCGACAGGGAACTCAGTAGCAGCTGGCGGAAGACCGAGAAGGTGGCAAAGTGCACCAATAGGTCCAGCACCTCCAGCACCAGCAGCACCTCTAGCACTCCCAGCAGCACCTCCAGCACCTCCAGTACCAGCAGCACCTCCAGCATTCCCAGCAACACCTCCAGCACCTCCAGCACCATCAGTACCTCCAGGACTAGCAGCTCCAGCACCTCGAGCACCAGCAGCACCTCTAGTACCTTCAGCAGTACCTCCAGCACCTCCAGTACCAGCAGTACCTCCAGGACTAGCAGCTCCAGCACCTCGAGCACCAGCAGCACCTCCAGCACCTCCAGCACCTCCAGCAGTACCTCCAGCACCTCCAGCACCTACAGTACCAGCAGTACCTCCAAGACTAGCAGCTCCAGCACCTCGAGCACCAGTAGCACCTCCAGCAGTACCTCCTGCACCTTCAGTACCAGAAGTACCTCCAGGACTAACTGCTCCACCACCTCCAACAGGACCTCCAGCACCTCCAGCACCAGCAGTACCTCCAAGACTAGCAGCCCCAGCAACTCGAGCACAAGCAGCACCTCCAGCACCTCCAACAGTACCTCCAGGACCTCCAGCACCATCAAAATCTCCAGCAGTGCCTCCAGCACCTCCAGCACCAGCAGTACCTCCAGGACTAGCAGCTCCAGTACCAGCTGCACCGTACCCTCCACCACCAGGACTGCCTCGCTGAACGATCCACGCACAAATCTGCTGCGGCGAGAGCGTCTCGAGTAGACCAGGCTGCTGTTGTGAGAGTACAACGGCTTTGCTGGACTTGCTTGATTCTGCATTATTATGTGTTATCTAGCTTAGCTTCATTTTATCTTGCATGCTTCTGCCTAATTTCCTAGGTTCGTTGTTTTTTCTTTAAATATTATAGTTATAGGCACGTTATAGGCACCGTACTAGGTTGAGTGCACCGAATTCTAGGCTTTTCGGTTGCCACCGAATTGCCTTCTACCGAATTCAGGAAGAACCCGTTCAGGACGCTTCGCGACCCACAGAACCTGTCAAACTTATATGCTGCTTGTTGTTTAGGCTATCGTGGGGTAGCCCATATGGGGTACAGTAAAATTAGGGTTTACTACTTGTACTCTTGCATGCTGATGGTTCACACATTCTCGTTCGTACTTCTGTCATGGTTTCAGAGCAGGTCCTAGCCTAGGACCGTTTTTTTAGGGCCCACCCGTCGCGCCACCGTGTTAGCGCCGCGCTGCCTTGCCCTGCGCTGCGTTGCGCTGCCTGTGCACGCCCTGCCCTGCCCTGCCCGCGCGCCGTGCCGTAACGCCTTGCCCGCACGTCGCCCGCCGTAGTTTGCCCTGCCCTGCCTGCGCGCCGCCCACAGCAGCACGCCCTGCCCTGCCCGCGCGCTGCCTGCTGCAGCGCGCTCTGCCCTGCCCGTGCGCCGCCCGCCGCGGCGCGCCCTGCCTTGCTTGCGCGCCGCCCACTGTAGCGCGCATTGCCATGCCCACGCGCTGCTTGCCACCGCGCCGCGCGCCCTGCCTACGCGCCGCTTGCCGCTGCACCGCGCGCCCTGCCTACGCGCCTACCCGCGCACCGCTCGCTGCCACCACAGCGCCACGCCGCCGCGCCGCACACCCTGCCCTGCCCGCGCGCCCTGCACTGCCCGCGCGCCGCCCGCCGCAGGCCCTGCCCTACCCGCGCGCCGCCCGCCGCCGGCTCTGCTCTGCCCGCAGCCGCCCACCGCCGCGTGCCCTGCCTTGCCCGCGTGCCGCCGCCGCTGAGCGCCCTGCCCTGCCTGCGCGCCACCCGCGGCCGTGCGCCCTGCCCTGCCATCGCGCCGCCAGCAGCCGCGCGCTCTGTCCTGCCCTTGCGCCGCTAGTAGCTGCGCTGCCCTTCCTGTGCGCCGCCCTGCTAACCACTGCCTTGCTGCTAGCACGCTAGCCTGCTCTGCCTGCTATGGCGACCCTGAGCGTCCTCCCCTTTGATTCGGAGGGCCGCCCGATCGAGATCAACTCTTGGCTCAATGACTTACAGCTATTCTAACTGAGCGACTCTAAGGACGGAATTTCGCTGTTTGACCTCACTTCGGACGCCTCTATCGCCCCTGCCAACACAGCTGACAGTGTAGCTCGCTCCTAGTGGCTTACTCGTGATGCTACTGCTCGCCTAGCCGTACGCAACCACCTGCCGTTAGCCGAACGCGCTCACTTTGGACAGCACAAGACTGCGAAAGCACTGTACGACGTTGTAGTCACTCGTTACTCCTCCCCGGCCAATGCTGCCTTAGGCCGCCTTCTCCTGCCTTACCTGCTCTCAGAGCTATCCGCCTTTGCCACAGAGCCGACCTTGTCACCCACCTTTGCACTAGTGACACTCGCTACCGCGCTGCGCTTCCCGCCGAGTTTCTCACCAAGAACCCTCCTCCCATGTACATCACTCTCTACTTCATAGTCACCCGCCTCCCTAACTCGCTTAGCGCTGTCAGGGACCTCCTTCTCGCCGTTGACCCCACCACCCTCACTGTCGACCTGCGCGAAAAGCACCTCCTTGCAGCTGAGACTAGCATAGTTGTCGTAGGCGCTTCTCGTGGCACTCCACGCACTCCCTTCTTTGAGGGGTGTTCGCCCTCCCCCCTTCTCCCCTCAGTAGCCTCTGCTGCAGTTGTCGACTACCTTTGTGCCGAGGAGGTAGGAGCTACGTCTGCCCCTAGTGGGAGGCGCCGTAGCGGCAGGGGCAGGGGAGGCAGGGGCGGCTGGGGCGGCAGAGGTGGAGGCGGCGGTGGAGGCGGTGGAGGCGGTGGAGGGGTCGGCGGTGACGGGGGGAGTGGTCGTGGGGATGGAGGTGTAGGTGTCGGCGGTGGTGGCGGCAGTGGCGGTAGTGGCGGCGGCAGTGGTGGCGGCAGTGGGACTGGAGGCGGCGGTAGTGGTGGCAGTCGGGGTGGTACGAGTCAGAGGGGAGGCCTTGGCGGTGGTCAGAGGCAGCAGCAGCAGCGTCAGCTTTCGCCCCAGGAGCTACGTGAGTGGTTTGCTCAGCGTGGGGCGGTTGGGGATAGTGGTCCCTGTCCGTATGTCATTTGCACAAGTGACCGCACTGGTCAGACATGCGGGAGGCTCCACACCCAGTACCGCTGCTTCGCTCGTCTTACCGATGCCTTCCGCACCGAGTTTCCAGACGCGGCTGAGCTCCCCCGCTGGGCAGAGCTGCTTAGGCAGGGTGTAGACATCTTTGCTCTTGATTATGATGCAATTTCTGCCATTTATGCATTGACTGTTAGCGCTGAGGGTGACTGTTACCTGTGTATGCCACCAGACACAGATATAGGGGCTCCTACTCTAGGTGCTAGTGAGTCTGCTGCTCGAGGTGCTAGTGAGTCTGCTCTCTCTGGTACTGGGTCTGCTGCGGCCCTGCACACCTTCACACTTGACTCAGGTGCTTCCCGCTGTT